CGTCTGTAGCCAAATCCTGACAGCAAAGTGAAAAAATCCTCTGCGTTTCACAACCCGTGGGAAAACAGGAAAGTGTGTGCTCTAAGGAGAAATGTTCCAGAAACAGCTCCAATCCTGCCGAGAACAAGCCAGAGTCGGGGTGGCATTGTACTGAAAATTCAGATCCAAAAAGAAGCCAGGGCAATGTGGGGGGAGCAGTGGTGGGGGACATGTCTGGATCACACAGAGCAGAGGAGAGGACAGGGCACAGCCACCCACCCCATTCACAGCTGGGCTGGTGGGGCAGCACCAGTGATGAGGGTATCCCAGCAAACAGCTGGGACTGAACCCAGGAATTGCAGACCTTTCACCCCACCACACCTCACTTTCTCCAGAAAAAAAGGAACTCAAACAATAAATCCTTAAAAAAAAAAAAAGAGTCCAATATACAGCTGGTACCACTTCGTGGACTGTAGATGTTTCACAGGCTGGTGGTTTCCCTGCATCCTTCCTCTTCAGATGAGGCTTTGAACCAATGCTGAACAGTTTGGTCCATGTTCCCCCACCTTCTCCTTCTCCTTCCTTTGATTACAGCAGGATCTTAATGAGATTTTTAGTAAGGCTTATCAGCTCAATACTTTACATTCCAGAGGATGATTTCTTCCTGGCACACAAATGCAGTTTCAGTTGGGTTTCTCCTGCCTTGGAAGGGATAGGTGGAGGATGGATGGATGGATGGATAGATTGGATGGATGGATGGATGGATGGATGGATGGATGGATGGATGGATGGATGGATGGGTGATGGAGGGATCATGGATAGATGATGGAGGGATCATAGAGGGATGGATGGATGATGGATGCTCTGCTCCTCATCCTAACCCCAAAATGAGTTAGGTGAAGCAAGTAGAGATGATGACAGAGGTGGTTGGTGTAGCCTGAGCTGTGGTTCAACCACACAACCCCGTGTCCATCTCCCAGGTGTTCCTCCTCCATCGTGTCCCCCACCTGGACACAGATGTGTCCAAGGAGACGAGCCAGTGGATGATGGGGAGCACCAGAACCTGCTGCAGTGAGGGATGCAAAAACCACAGCAGGACCAAACAAACCCACCGGAATTGCTGTGTGACACCCACTGGTCCGGGGACACAGGACAGCCCCTGGAGCAGGCGGAGGGACTCCCTCGCCGAGCAGGGTCGTGGTCCCCCCTCACCCGTGCAGCTGGCGGGGTGGTTTGTTGACTCAAGTGCTGTTTCCTCATTCGGGGATGTTGGTTTTAGGTCCCCGCCAGTGTGGGAACCGGATCCGAGCTGCTCGGCAGCGCTGTCAACTCCGGCCAAGGAATGCGAGCGGCTCCGGCGGCGGAGCGGGAGCAGCCAGGGGCATCCCTGCGGCCTCACCCTGCCCCTCTCCAGCCCTGGAAAGGGCCAGTCCCTCCAGTTCACCCTCTGCAGGGCTTTAGGCGCTGCTCACCAGCTGCCACGGAAGTGGTCTCAGCGAGGTTTTAGCCTCGAATCTCATTTCCCTCCCCACCCAAAAAAAAAGGTTGTTTTCCCTCCGCACGGAGTGGTAGGGGAAGAAACAAGTTATTGAGGGCTGGGGCAAAGCAGAGCTGCGGCAAAACCAGGGGAAGGAGGATGCAGGGAGGCAGCAGAGGCTTTCCCTTCCTCTGCCAAGCAGAAAGTGCTGCACAGACAGGGACTGGTAAATCACAGGACATTCCAAGCGTAGGAGCACAGCCCAGCGTCCAGACGTGAGAAAACCACCGCCACCACCAAGCTACACCCCCCTCCTCCCTGTCCTGCTGGGAACCGGCTTTCCCGGGAATGCTGCCCTGGGGCTGGGGCAGATTTCCCACCCAGCTCTTTTCCCAGGGATGGTACAACCCCACAGAGGGGCCCCGGAGAGGTTCTCCCGGTGCGAAGAGAAAGGACAGGCGAGGGACAGTGGCCGTTCCCAGGGACAGCCAGGGCCTCCCGATGCTGAGCTCACCCTCGCACTGTGCCCGGGGCCAGCCTTCCGCCCCGGCAAGTGCATCCTGTCTCCACTGCTGCTTCCCAAATATTTAGATAAGATGGGGTGAGATTAGGTGCGTCCCTGGGCCGGGATGCTGCCAGCCACCGGTGCTGCTGGGATGGGAGGCAGGGTTTGGGGTGATGGAGCAGGCAGGAGCAGAGCCTTTTCCAGCCAGGAACCTAATTTCAGCAGGGATTAAGGACTTTTAGACAGAGAAGAACCTGCACATGAAAGACTTGTGCACGCAGGAGCTGTTCTATACAGCACCTCTCACATAGGACCTGTGAGGGCCAGGTCTGTGCACAGAATCATGGAAGGATTTAGGTTGGAAAAGCCCACTAAGATCATCAATTTCAACCATTAACCCAGCACTGTCAAATCCACCACTAACCCATGTCCCCAATTGCCACACCCACCCATCAGGATCTGTGCAGGCAGGAGAGTGAGCACTTTAGAGAGCACCCAGGTGCCACAAAGCAGCGAGCAAAAAACCACAGGAACACCCCAGGGGGAGCATGGGCTCCATCCAGCCCTCTCCCATCTCTCCAGGGATGCTCTGGTTTGCCCAGAGAAGCTGTGGTTTCCCATCCCTGGACATGTTGAAGGCCAGGTTGGAGGGCCTTAGAGCAATCTGGTCTATGGCAGCTGTCCCTGCCCACGGCAGGGAGTGGAACTGGATGATGTTTTGGGTCCCTTCTAACCCAAACCACTCCGTGATTCATTCTGTGATTCTATCCAAAAGCAAGACCTACTCTCTTTCTCTTCTCTGCAGAGCTGTGAGGGAGCTTTAGGCAGGACAGGGAGCTGTGTTGGTGGGCACAGAGGATAGGGAGGCTGGAGATGCCCGTGGGGGAACTGTGGGGCTGCAGAGCCCTGCCCTGCTCCCGCCGTGGCCCCCTGGCCTCCCCAGCGCCCCCGCCCCGCTTCCCTCAGGGATCTGCTATTCCTGGAACACCAAAGCTGCGGCTCACAGATAAGGCTGCGGCAGGGCCCCGGTGAGGAACGGCAGCCAAGAGTTCGGCTCCTTGCAAAGAAACTCCTTTTAAACTTTTCCTGTTCCCCGGGAGGGCCGGCAGCAGCCAGGCAGAGCACAGGGATGAGGGAAGATCACAGAATCCATTTGGCTGGAAAAGATCTCCGAGATCACTGAGTCCAGCCTACAACCCAACAGCACCTTGCCCACCAAACCATGGCACGGAGTGGCACATCCAGTCTCAAAGGGGTCATTCTCTAAGGATGGGACATCCTGCACCCCTGGCGATGGGGTGGGGTGATGCTGGGCAGACCCTGGGTGGGGGAGCAGTGCTGACCCTCACTGTCACCGCAGGAGGAGTGGAAGACTGCCATCAAGAACAACAACTCCTTCTTTGAGAGCTTCTGCTCCACAGCCCAGCACGTGTTTGACAGCAGCAGGGACAGCTGCAGGGTGACGCTGATGGCCTGCAAGAGGCCCTCCCGCCACTGGGCCGTGCAGGTGGTCCTGCACCGTGAGTACGATCCCACCCTCCTGTGCAGGGGGACAGGGTGGCACTGCCACTGGGGACCCCGGAGCTGGAGGCTTGGCAGAGCCCTCAGCTCTACTAGAGCTTGGCCAAAGGCATCTGTTCTGCCCCATCCCAGTGGTTTGGGAGAGGCACAACGATCCCAGAAATGAGCTCTGCGCCCCAAGGAATGCACCAGATCCTTCTGCCATGTTGAGTCAAGGCACTGACCAGTCTCCAGGAGGAAGAATTCCTCCCAGGTGGTTAAAAGTGGGTGCCCAGTTCAAATCCTTCCCCAAAGACCACAGAGAGGAGCTTCTCTCCCATGTCAGAGCCTTGTTGGGACACCTGGCTCAGCTTGGGTGTGCTCAAACATTGCTTTAGGATCAGGGTGCCCGGGAGATGGAGACATCCTGCTGTCCTAGCATGACGGGGAGGAAGGCCTGAGCTCCATCTGCTCTTACTCGTCATCAGAGCAGAAGCTGGGTGGGTGATCCAGACTCCACATCCAACCTCATGGAAGGCACCCAGGCTCTGAGGACTAATCCTTGAGGAGCCAGGTACAGCCAGCCCCTCACTGGGCTTGCTCTTAAATCATCCACTGGAGATGGATGGTGGGGCCTGGGCTCTGGGGCTGTCCCACTTCCAGAAGAGATCCTGGCTCTTGGTCTGGCTCTGAAGCACCTACAAGGGTTTGCTTCATCCCCACACATCTTCATCCACCTCCTCTAGAAATTGGGGATGGTGGTAGAACCTGTCCCCTGCCCACACCTTGTGTTCACTGAAGCCTTTTTCTTCCCCCAGTTCCCCTGGACTCTGAAGAAGTCCTCATGAAGCTGAAGGAGAAGAACGAGATGTTAGAGGAGGTAAGTGGTCATGGCACAGCTGCCCCAGGGGTGTCCCTGGTGTCCTGTGGGTGGCACAGGAGCCTGACCTGTCCTTTCTGTGGCAGCTTGGCATCATCAACATCACCTCTGACAAGATGGTGGAGGACATGACCATCAACGATGAGTTCAGCACCCCCCTGATCATCACCATCATCACCCTGGCCGGGTCCCTGCTGCTCGTCGCGGCCATCTACGGCTGCCACCAGCGCTTCTCCCAAAAGAAGGACCAGGTAAGGTGGCAGGAGGGTGGGACAGGTATCCCAAGACCTTTTCCATCCCTGAAGCATCTTCAGGAGATGAGGATCATCAGTGTTGCTGTCTCTGCTGGTGGAGACATCCTGGTTTGCCCAGTGGGCACCACCTGGGGTTGTAATTTTGACAAGAAAGGCTTTCTCAGTCCAAAACCCCATTCTAAAAACAAGCTATACCTCTCAAAAAATTTCTTGAAATACTTTTACAAGTAGTGGAGCTGGGTTGGATGCCAGGGAGCCCCAGGCTGTGTGCAGGGAAGAAGGAGGTGTCAGCAAGAGGAGCATCGACACTGCAGGGCTCAGCCTTTGCAAGAGCTGGGCCAGGGCCAAATTTCAGAGCAGCAGCAGCAGGATTTAAGGAAGAACCAGCACAGAAAGAGAAAATAATGTGATTTTCATCTCGGGAAGAAATCATAGGTGATTTTAGTGTAGCATCCACCTGCAAGGACTGGCCATTCCCACACCCTGGGGCACCGAGGTTTGCACTGGTCCCAGCTGCTGTTCCTGAGGATTTAGCTCTAGGGCAGACAGAAACAAAAAAGGAAAATAATTATGAAATCAGATTATGCAATCAGGGTAAAATCACCCTCCTGATGGAGAAGCAGACCTACTTCACTCCTACTTCAAATCACTTTCCCCTGGACCAGCTCATCTTTTCTCAGTGATCACAACCTCTGACCCACAGGAAAACAAGGGATAAAACTTTAAATATTTACTGTGCAAGGTAGGTGAACACAGAAGGGAGGGAAGAGAAAATTAACGCCCTTGTCAGACTTGTTTGTACTTGCCAGGCTTGATTGTTTGGGAAGAAATAGGGGAAGAGGCAAGACCTCAATAAATATTTGACCTGCACTGTGGTCCCCTTGGAGCTTCCAGGGTTTCATCACAATACCTTCATCAATAAGGCATTTTTAGTGATGGGAACATGTGTTCCTAAAATAACTTGGTCAAGAGGAACAGGTACCTGTCCAATTTGGATGTTCCAGAGGTAAATTCCCACCAGGCACAGGGTAAAATAGCAAAACCAATGCAAGGAATTCCATTTCCAAAAATCAAACACATTCCTCCTTCCTGGCTTTGTTTTTTGGGTGGTTTCTTTTGTTCTCCTTTTGTTTCGTTTCCAAAAATGACTTGAAAGTTTTTTTTTTTTTTTCCCTATTTTATTTTTTTTTCTCCAACCCTCCTCACCCCCCACCTCCCTCCCTGTCGTTTTATCTTGGAAATACCCAGAACATCCACCCTGATGTCCCCGGGTTTGATGATGGACATGTGGCCCTGATCTTTAATGTGAGTTCCAACACAGGGATCGGAGGGGCGGGCGCCGCATCCGTAACAACCCAGCTCTCACCTCTGGTGCTTGGTAGGGCCCAGTAGCTTTTAACAGGACTAAAGCCCAGCTTTACAGCCCCTTTCCTCTTGCTGCATGGCTGGAAGGTGCCTTGCCATGGTGGGAGAGCAGCAATCCCACAGGGGAGCAGCCCTTGGGAGAGCCCAGGTGTGTCCTCTGCTTTCGAGCATCCCACAGTCCCCACCCTGCCACGGGTGACACGGGGGACTCCCAGCAGTGCCTTTGCAGCCCCTCTGCCAGCACCAAGCCCTGCAGTTTTGCTTCTCCATCCCTCTCCTTCTCCATGGATTCCCTCCCACGCCTGTCTCCTGACATTTATAGGAGCACTGTAATAGAGCAAGCTGTGAATCCAGGCAGATTTTAACAGGGCTCCCCAAAAAGGGCTGAGCAAGGACTGCAGTTCCCCACTGAATCCCTCTAGGGAAGGATGGGGATGCAGAAGCTCAAGTGGATGCAAAATTAGGATGGGCTGGGGTTCTGCCAAGGGATGAAGAGCTGAGATGGAGCCTGAAGCACCAAAGGACCAGAGTGATAAAGTGGGTGATTCCATCTTTCCCTGCCTGGTTTCCACTAAGAGTTCCAGAATGAGGAGGGATAATCCTCAAGATCTGGCAGATGGGAGCTATCCCTGAGTAAAGGAGAATAATAATAAAGCACCTAAAAAAGGACAGGGGTGGATAGAAAGGGGAGGGGAAGAGCAGATTTGAGATAGGGAGGCAGGAGTTGGGATGCAGTGTTGCTCAACCTCTTCCCAAGGTCCTGGGTGGAACAAAATGAAGCTGGCAGCTGCTCCTGGAGGTTTTCCACATGTCTCTAGCTGCTCTTTCCTCCTTCCCATCATCAGCAGAGTCTCCCTCTTGCCAGCTCCATGCTATCCCCTCGCTGCCCCCTGCCTCAACCTCACCATGGAAGTCTCTATATGTAGCTATATAAATCTATATGGGGCAGCTGTCACAGCTGGCTGGGAGGTGACAGCCCTGAGGTGACACTCACAGCATGGCCAAGGTGTTGTTCAGTGGGGTTTATGGTTTTCTTTCCTCATAGCAGCGCCTGACCGAGGAGATGCAGACCATGGAGAACGGCTACCACGACAACCCCACGCTGGAGGTGATGGAGACCTCCTCTGAAATGCAGGAGAAGAAGGTGAACCTCAATGGTGAGCTGGGGGACAGCTGGATCGTTCCTCTGGACACCCTCATGAAGGAGGACCTGGAGGAAGAGGAGGACACGCATTTATAAGATGCAGAACTTGAGCAAGAGAAAAACAACGAACCCCCCCAAAAAAAATCCCACAAACCCTACACACACGCACACAGAGCTCCAAAATAAGGCAAAGTTCCCCCCAAAAAGAAAATCCCTGAATGAACTAATCATGGCCCTTTGTGCCTCCACATGGGGTGAAGGATGGAAAACACAAGAGAAGACAACACCTCTGGGGCACAACAACACAAGCCACCTTGGTGGCCACATCTGGCCAAGCATCCTCCAACCCCCATCCACCTCCCACGCCAGACCTGACCAGCAATGGGTAAACAGGGTAGCTTTGCTGCTGAAGAGCTGCCAGTGTCTCCTCCAAGCATGTCCTCTCCCATCCCACATCTGACCACGCCAGCCACATCCTCCAGATACCAAATGACTCAAAAATCAAGAGAAATAAAATAAATAGGACGGGAGATGGAGTGCATCTGACAGCAAAGCAGCACCTGGCAATTACAGCTCGACAAATCCTCTGGCCCACGCTGTTTAGTCATCACCCTGCCCTCCCTGACACCCAGGTAGTGAATGAAAGAAGCTGGAACAGCCTGTTCCTTTTTAATCCAGTTTCCAGCCTCTCCCCAGAGCTGAAACGCACAAGAGCCCCGCGTTGTGCCATAGGCAGATGGATGCATCCGGACCCGGCGGGATGGCAGGGATGCAGCAGTGCCAAGTGATGCTCAGCCCCCGTGCCAAGGGCTGAGGAACACATCCTGTACCCACCCAGAGACCGAGAGAGGCACAGCAGCTTCTTGTTTTGAAAGGATGAGATGGAGGGAGAGGAAAAGGAGGAATTCCTTGAGTTCATCCCTCTTAGGAAGGGTGTGGAGAGCAAGAGCAATGCCTGGTCTCTAGCCCAGGTGTAATGTTGAGGGTTTTGTGGTGCAGGAGCCCAGCTCTGGTGCTGCATTTCCCTCTGGAAGGATCACATGCCTTCCAGGAAGTACACAGCAGCATCTCACAGCCCTCATCCATCCTCCACAAGACTGTGGGACAGACGCACCACGATGGTTTGTGATTTTTGAGGGCACATTTTCCTGCGTGAGCAGCAGAAGAGGTAAAAGAGCAGCAGAACATGAGCCAGGGAGCTCAGTGGCATTCAGGTGGCCTTGGTGTTTCACCCCCTCAAGGATTAAAAGCTCAGCCTCAAGCTCTTCTTCACAAACCACTAAAACAAGAGACCTGCAAAGCAACTTCCAGCTCAGCAGCGAAGCTGGAACTGAGCTTTGTCCTGCAGCTCTTGGTTTGTCACCCAGGTCTCCCTTTGCTGAAGCCTTTAAAGGGGAGAAGAAAAAAAACCATGGCTGGACTGAGGCCATTTCTGGATTTTGACTCCCCACCACGGCTCCTAAATGGCTCTAAAAGGCTGGGGAGAGTTTCATGCCTTTGCTCTGGTGAAGCAGCTCAGTCCTGGCAGAGGCAGGGATCATCCTCCAGCTGGGGTCCATCCTCCAGCACACGAGGACCAGAAGGTCACTTGGCTGAGTCCCTCTCCCAAAGTGAGGACGGTGCTTGTCCCAAACCCTCTGCAAGCCAGAGGAGCTGCAGATAAGAACGAGGCCCAAGCACAGCCTTTCTCCTCTGCGTGCCACAAACCCAGGCACAACAGGGAGATTTCCTCTGGGCTCTGCCACCAAGTCAACCCAACTGGGATCTGCTCCCACAGCTGCCCTGAATGAGGGGAAAAGCAGAGCCAAGCAATGGGAAGCTTGGAGAAACCCTGGTGGAGTTGGGAGTACTCAGGAAGGAGGGGACTGGGGTGTTTTGCTCAGCCCCAGGACAGGCACTGGGCAGAAGATACAAGTGGCTCTTCCCCCTTCTGTCCTGCACCGAAGGGCAGAGTCTGAAGTGTTCAAACCTTTCTATTTTTGTATGTAAATATTCCTGCTATTCATTAGCAATGTATTCTGCACACTTCACTTACCTGTGCACTGCACTATGGGGAAGTAATTTTGGAGGGGAGGGGAAATAAATGAAATAAATGGAAAAAAAAAATCTTAAAAAAAAAAAAAAGCTAAAGGCCAGCAGAAAAACACCTCTTGCCCAGGTAACTTTGTGCCACAGCTTTGTCCCTGTTCTGGCAGCATCAGTTCAGCTCTTTAACACAGCCACGAGTCTCAGAGAACTGGCCTGAGCATCCACAATTGCTCTTGTGAGCACTGTGGCCTCCCAGCTGCCGGGGCAGGCAAGCAGCAGGTCCATGACCTCACATTTCTGTCCTTCCCAGAAAACAAACACAGTGAGGACACAGGGCAGCAGCGATGCTGTGGCCACCAGGGCTAAGTTGCCACCAGGACACCTCTGGCAGGGCATCTCCAGGCTTTGGCATGTGCCTAAAGATTCCCCCCTCCCAGCAAAGAGATGCCAAAGTGCTTTAATGAGTCAGGTCCAAAGACTTTCCAAGAGAATCCTACAGAGGAAAAGATCAAGTAACCTTAAATCTTTCCAAGCAGAGACCAGTGAGGATATTAACTGCTCAGCAAGTGCTTATAGTGATTTATATTTGAATAGGAATTGTACATTTATTTATTTTTCCAGACACCATATTTTTAAACCACTAATATTTTATAGTAGATGTTCCTTCCCCTATTTAAAAGAACTATTTCCACAGGAAAAGAAAACAGTACTTTTGGTTTTTTTAATGTTGAGAACATTCTTTTTTTGGAAAAAAAGAAAAAAATCAGGTAGGAAATGCAGCAATGAGCATCTTTGGCCTTAACCCTTCCCTTCGTAGACTGTAGCCATAATTGCTAGACCAAAAATAATAAATTAAAAAAAAATATTTACTGAAGCATTTCCTTCCTCCCTGCCCCTCCTCCCTTCCCTGAGCTCCTCTTCTCTCCCCCAAAACAGCTTTAACATCCCACACATTGTACAAAGAGATTCCTGCTCTTACCTTTCGGCGGGAGCTTTACAAGCAGCTCAGATGTCCTTGCAAGAGACTTTTCTATTTTCAGATTCAAGAGGAAACTTGTAAATACTTTTAGGAGCATTTTATCTCCCGCTCACAGTGCCGTGACCCAGCTGATGAGGTTGATACTGTGACTGCTGCCTACAGAAGACACACAGAAGTCATAATCCATGAGGGCTGGAGAAGGAAAACCTAATTCCCCAGGTGTTTCCCTGTTGAACCTTGAACATATAGCAGAGCTCTTACATACTGTGTGTAGCAGCACCTCTCACGGGGACAGGAGTCTGATTTACACTGGAATTTACCGAGGAACTGGATTGTAAGAGATTATTCTTGCATTTTCCTACAAATATATTTTGAGAGCATCATGTATTTCTGTCAATAAACATTCTTATGTAAAAGATTCGTGTATTTGGATGAGTGAGGAGGGGTGGGCAGGTCAGAGGACAAGTTCCAGGGCCACAACTTCCTGCTCTGGAGAGGCTCCATGGGAAAACACTGGACCAGCTGGAACAAAACCAGCCCAGACCTTCAAGGTAGCCAGTCATGGAAAAGTCTGTATTTTTCCTGTGCAGAAGGAAGTATTATAGTGGTGGAAAAACTATTAAATTTAAAAATCAGAAGACTCAGAAGGGTGGACAACTGAGGTGATGTGAGGGTACCCCCACCAAAGCCTGAGCACTTGTTTGAGCTCTTGGTGCCTTCAAGCTGTCAGAGGAAAAGGCAACTCACCCTTATTTCTGCACTTCAGCCTTATTTATTTCTGCATTTCATCCTAACTCACACTGATCTGCAACCCCTCCTGGCACTCAGGTCAGGCTGAGGAGGAGGGAATCAAACCTCACACATAAAGCAGGAGAGGCATCACCCAAGGGCAGCAGAGGGGCAGCAGCAGCGTGGGCAGCTCAGTGGCCCCACTGGCCTTCAAGCGCCCAAAATAAAACATTTTGTTCCAGGTTAAGTTCCTGCTTATGTAAAGGAAAAAAAAAAAAAAAGTAATTTGAAGACAGATATTAAAAATCAGCAGTTTGCCGCAGCCTATGTTCTAACTCTGTGTTCCTCCCCAAAAAAAGTTCCTGTGAATGTGTAGAATATGCTGGATTTATGGGATACAGACTGAGCTCATCAGTGAGGTCAGGCAACAGGGCCAGACGTAACGTGCCATTAGTTTCACAATTACTCTACCACTAAAAGACCTTCACGGGCATTTTTCCACTCTGAAGCGATGTGAGAACAAACAGATCTTAAATCAACAACTTTGCTAGCATATACATTTTTATTAAGAAAAAAATGAACAAAATACATTCTCTCCTTATGTACATTACATACAACATAACTACATTTGTAGATATTCCTCGTGTCACTCATTCATTTATGTACAGCATGGGGCTCACACACCAACCCAGAAATCATCAAAGATGATTTATGCCAAGGAAGAAAATTAACACTCCAGGCTGAACGAAGATCATCCATAAAGAAAAGGGTGGGAAGGGGAATCACCAGAGTCCAGGGAAGATGCCTGTAACCACCATGGGCTCAGCACAGGAGCAGTCAATATTTGACCTGCCTAATAAAACACTTGAGCAGTTCACAGCTTTCATCACCCCACAGATGCTTCTTTCCAGCTCAGGGCTGTCCACACCTCTCAGCTCAGCTCTCCTGTGCTCAGGTGTCCCAGACAACAACTGCAGGACAGACACCGAAGGGAATCCAGACGGACACCAGAGCCTGCAGGATTGCTGGGGAGGTGCAAACGCTTCAAGCTGGCTGCCAAAATAGAACAGAGAGGCCAAATTGTGGACAGGGGGTGGACACTCACATTTCCAGCACTAGGGAGGGAGAACCAGCTTTTGGGGACCACACTGGGGTGTAGAGGACAAAATAATGAACACTGAAGGTCCAGACAAATAAACCATCACACACTACA